CCTGTTGTCTCCTTTCCTCCTGTGCAGCGATGGGCACCAAGGGCTCCCTGTGCCCCGCTGTGCCTGGTGCTCGGAGCACGGCTGAAGGCAGGAGCTCGGGCAGTGGCTCCCCATGCTCGCAGCAGATGTGCTCAGCTCCAGCTGGGAGCAGGCAGCTGGAACAGGCAGAGGTTCAAGAAGCAAATTCTGCCACTGCACAAATGGTTTTGGTAACGAAAATAAACAGACATGGGAGTAACGTGCTGCCTGCTGCTACTGTGCTGCCTACGGGGAGATGGGCTGTAAGGGAGCAGAGGACCTGCGGGAGACCTGGTCTGCAGCCAAGACCTGTGCTGCTGGTTGGGAATGATGCGGTGCCCACGTGCTTCTGCATCCGTCTGTCTGTTTCAGGGAGTCACAGAACGGTTTGTGTCGGAAAGGACCTTAAAGCTCCTCCAGCTCCAACCCCTGCCCCGGGCAGGGACACCTTCCACTAGAGCAGGTTGCTCCAAGCCCCTGTGTCCAACCTGGCCTTGAACACTGCCAGGGATGGGGCAGCCACAGCTCCTCTGGGCACCCTGTGCCAGCGCCTCAGCACCCTCCCAGGGAAGAGCTTCTGCCTCAGAGCTCATCTCAGTCTCCCCTCTGGCAGGTTCAAGCCATTCCCCTTGTCCTGTCCCTACATCCCTTGTCCAAAGCCCCTCTCCAGGTCTCCTGGAGCCCCTTTAGGCCCTGGAGCTGCTCTAAGGTGTCCCCTTCAGGAGCCTTCTCTTCTCCAGCTGCCCCAGCCCAGCTCTCTCAGCCTGTCAGAAATTAAAGGAATTACAGAAAAGGAGTAACACCACATTAAAAATATTGACTAACAAGTGCTGTATCCCAGTCTGGCTGGAGAACTGAAAAGAAACCAAAGCTGGGCATTGCCATCAGCGTGTTCTGGATGCTGCAGTGATTCTGCTGCCAACAGCATCACTTGGCAAAACCCCCCCCTCCACCGAGACACATGATCATGAGCCAACCTCATGCCTGCCCCATCAGGAGGACACCTCATGACCATCTACTCTGGTAACACAGAATCCTCCGTCCTGCATTGCAGGGGTCTGACAGCAGCGCACATGGGTGCACCCTGTATCCCAGTATCCCAACACGGGGGCTCCCCGCCTCTTCCTCAGCACCCACTGAGGATGAGCATCTCCTGCTCATCAAGAACAGAGGGTGCAGCTACTTCTGGCCACGGTCTCCCATCTTTTGCTAGTTATTTATTCCCTTTTCAAGAATACAGGACCTGTATTAACCCGAATGCCCTAAAAGCCATCGTACGTACGCTCTGCTGTGTCTTCCAAGGTTAATTCTTCTTCCTGTTGGATGATTGTTACTTCATTTTCCTTGACAGGCCTCTATTGTTACTTGAACTTGTATTTATAAACCTTATGAAGACTTCTTCATTCCTGGGAGACAGAGAGACAGAAAAGGGATCATAACAGTGCAATGGGCACAAACCTGGTACCTTGTAGGAGAGGAACTGCAGACACTTGACTTTAGGAAGGACCACACGGGCCCGTGCCAGGACCGCGGCTTCATGGCTATGTCTGTGCTCCTCGTGCAGAGTCAAGCACCATTCAGAGGGTCAGGACCATCTTCTGTCTTACGGTTGCTTTTTCTGTGGCCAGTGACATTCAGAACTGAAGGGACAGCAAATTCAAACACAGATTCCTATTTGAAATGATTAATTCCTCAAGAAACCCCAAATTAAAGGGCTGTGACACCCATAAGTAGCAGGAGGGGATGGGATGGGAGAGCAAAGCTGGGGATGGTCGTAGTTTACACACTCGCCACCACCCTCCTACTACATGTGTAAAAAACAGACACCGAGGGCACCAGAAGTAAATTGACATACTGTATTTATTGCACAAATTTCCCCTAAAATTGGGAATGGTTATTATAATACAAGTGCACATCTTGGGAAATATATACAAAACCAGAAGAGAGAACAAGTATGTACATTTTACCCAGCATTTTACAAGTACCACCAGCTAAATAATTTAGAGAAAGCAAAAAAAAATTGTCTTAAAACATCTCTACTAACTAACAGGGAAACCAGCCGCAAGGTGGCAAATCCTTTCTTTTAAATAGGTTTTGTTCTTAGCAGCCCAGTGTTTGCCAATTGCAACAACAACAACTTTTCTCAGTCGTGTGCCTTAGTACACTTAGTTTTCAGCCAGGAAATTAAGACATGTTAATGGAGCTTGGTAATAGTGGAAACAAAAGAAATCAAACATTAGTTTTCTATTCACATAAAACCATCGCGATACGCTTTAACGGAGCCCTGTAGAAGATGCCTTTTTGTGGTGTTTAACACACAGACATTCGTACCACGTTGTTCATGTACCCTCGAAGTTCACTTCCAGGAAAACGTCCCTTCACACAGGGTTTGGGATGAGTTGGGACCAATGTGCTCCTCAGGAGGGGGATGAGGAGGCCACATCCATGGCCGCTCCACTGGGACAATGCTGAGGGGTCGTGGCAGGCAGGGGACAGCAGGGAAGGACACCACCAAATCACCACCTTCTTCTCAAGTTAATACTAATTTGAAGCTGTGCAAAGGCCGTTTGAGAGAGTCAAATCCGCATCAGCAACACCAACAACTCGCCTGATCATGGTTAAAGGGAGGAGGATGTGATATTTTCCTTCTAAGCATGGTCTGGGGGGGGTTGCCCAGCTATTTAGGGACGTGCTGTGGATGAACCCACAAGGAACAACCGAGAGGCAGGGGTTCTAGAGCCAGGACCATGCTGATACCACCACGTTACAACTGCAAGTGGATGTTTAACGTTCAGATTCCTAACAGCTGGCTCTAAACTGAGCCCAGCACAGAGTTAAACACCCCTGTGCTGAGCTCAATGCTGTGTTTCATTAGAATGGGTTTACACAACTGGGGCCCTATGTTCTGTGCTCATTCCAAAAGCCAGACGTAAAATAATGGTGTGGTGAAAGAAGGACATTTGAAGAATAGGGGAGAAACATCCTCAGATCACGTATTAAACACAAGGTTCTTCCCTGCAGCAGTCAGCGTTAGGTTTCACGTACAAAACAGCTCCCAATGACACTGCCTATATTAAGGTTTGCTTGACTTCCTAAGGTGGGCTCAGTCCTACACGGAAGGGGCCGTGGGTTTGCCACATGGATCTTCCCTGGGACAGGGTCTGAAATCCTGGCATGGGGAGGAGGGGAGGAAGGGAGGAGCCAGCGCTGGGGCAGGGATCTCTCCTATTGTTTTCAACTTTATCAAATGGTTAAAGCAGATCTGTATTCCAAGTAACTCCTCAAACAATAGCAGGCGTGCTATGCCATTGAATAGATGATTACAGAAGGGCATATTTATAGAGCTGTTTATAGAGTTCAGCGACCACGTGTCTCCTACTTGTGTGGCTGGCCCATGGGTTCCAACCTACCGAACGTCAGGGATGGAAACAGAACCTAAAAACCAGCAACATTAATTGGCTGCCAGGACAAATACGCAAAGAAAAGCCTCTAATGAAGTGTCCAGTTAAACTGAGGTAGTAGAGCCTTTGAAAACATAATCCACCTACCACTGTATATTTACATTACTTACACCAGGCTGGGTCCCTCAGCTATTCGTACAACTTGTTGTATATACAATGACAAAACAGCGATGGCTGAGGAAAGGAGAAATGCTGAGAATAAAATAAACAACATTTCCTGCTGGTAATTACACAAGTGAGTAGAAAAGGGATTAGAGTCATCTGCATCGAGGGTGGATCTGTCCAAAAATAACCTGGTGTTACTGCACTGTGGTGGAATCAACGTTCTGGTTTTGTAGAATGGCTTTAAAAAATATATCAATTCGTTACCTGAGCAATTTAAGGGTAATAATAGTCTATTCACTTCTTCCCCACTGCTTTGGTACAATTGTTTCTAGGTCATCACTTCAATAGCTGACTGACTGCTGTAAAAAGAAGATGATGTTGCAAGAATATTAGAGACCATAAAAAAGTTAAGAGGTAAGAGTCGAGTCACCTGGGGCCTGTGGGGAAACTGCAGCCAACGCTCCCTTAGAGATGATTTTTTTCTTTAAACATTCTGATTACGTTGTGGAAGAAAAGCATCACTTGGTATAAAGCAACATTTAAACATTATAAACATTTAATACTGGTTACAACATCCAGCCAAGAAAGAGAATCTCCACTGCTGTTGGCCTTTTCCTCCTCCTCCTCCTCCTCCCCCCCCATCCCAACTATTCCCTCTCCCCAGGAGAAAGATCATAAATTAACTTTGGAGCTGAGTTTCATTAATAAGCTTTTTACAAAACATCCCCCCCCCCATCCCAACCCCTGTTCTTCCTCTGGGAAGTGTCCAGAACTGGACTATGACATGAAAAAGGAGAAGTTGTTTACAAATCGTTGCAGCTTGAGAGTTAGAGACTGAACGAGCTCCTCCTTGGGCTGAAGGCAGCTGCTGCGTCCCCTCGTAAGTTCATCATCAGTGACGGCATCATGTATTCCTCAAAGCAGTTCTTCCTCACGTCCCCCGTACAAGTTACACTTGGCCATGGTGGCAGAAGCTGCTAAAAGATGCAGATCTTCAGCTTTTGCTGAACTCTCGTGTGGCTGGAATCTCAGGCTCACTCTGTTTTCCTTTCTTTATCCTTCTTTATAAACGACCAAGCGGGAGAGGAAAAGCCTCCAAGTGTTTGCATAATGTGCAGTCATATATGGAGGTGCTGCAGCTCAACGAGCAGTTTGTTTTAATGGCTTCAAAGAGAAAGGAGCCAGAACAAGTTGTCTTCTTCCACTTTGTTTCCAGAGAGGGAGAAAAAAAGTCAACATCTACAGCCTCTGGCATTTTAAAGTAGTATCTGGGCAACGTAAGGAGAGTGAGTGCTTGCTACAGCTGCCAGCAAAGGGAGGTCGCTGGATTCAATCCTAAAAGGAAGCAAAAGAGTCACATTTAATCCAACCCGAAACACACATCGGTCACCATGCTCCAGCCAGGCCTTTGCGTGGACCATGAGCGTGTCCAGCTCCGAGAAGGAGGACACTGGAAAACTGAATCCCACTGTGCTTCCCTCCTAACGCAGCCCTGCCAGCCGGGTTACACGCTCCAGCCTCCAGCCGGCCGCTAACCCCCCTCCAGCTCACACCAACAAGCGACAGCTCTGCACTGTGCAGCTCCTACCTGACTCTGGGGTTCTTCTCAAAGGGCCCACGAACTGGTGAGAAGGCAAACAGAGGGAGGAAAACAGCAGATTCCCTCCTGCCCTCAAAGTAAAGGAGCAATAACTGGGGGACAACGCACAGGAGCCGAGGATTAGGCTGACCTACTGCAGCAGCTCCCCATCTCCAGCTCCACACGTGCTCCGTGCGCCTTCCTGCTCACCCTGTGCTCCTCTGCATAAAAAGCTACTCAGAGCCCTCCTATAAACACGCCTTAAATAGCTTCTCTGCCTCTGCCCCACACCCACAGGGAGGCACTATGTGCCTTACATGATCCAGAGGGTGTTTTCT